GGTCCGCATCCACAAGGTCCGCATCCACAAGGTCCGCATCCACAAGGTCCGCATCCACAAGGTCCGCATCCACAAAGTCCACATCCACAAGGCCCACAACCAGGACTGCAAGGTCCGCAACAACCCGCAGAATTGGCTAGGGCACTAAACGGAAAGTTTACCATGCATGATTGGACAAAAGATGTTGGCGAAAATGGTGTAAAATTGGAACACGTTTTTAATGTCGTTTGTGGATCGTATTGCCAAATGTACCGTGTTGCAGGACGTTCGGCAGTGGTTCTGTCAAAGCCTTGAAACATTGGTGAATTTATCTGTATGTCAGGGCAGCTGCACAGGCTGTTAGAGATGTCTGCTTTGGCAGTACTGTCGTCTTTGGCAGCAGAGTCAACTTTGGCAGCACAGTCAACTTTGGCAGCACAGTCAACTTTGGCAGCACAGTCAGCTTTGGCAGCAGAGTCGGCTTTGGCAGCAGAGTCGGCTTTGGCAGCAGAGTCTACTTTGGCAGCAGAGTCTACTTTGGCAGCAGAGTCGGCTTTGGCAGCAGAGATTGTTTTGGCAGCAGAGTCGGCTTTGGCAGCAGAGTCGGCATCGGCAGCAGAGTCGGCATTGGTAGCAGAATCCGTTTTGGCAGCTGAGTCGGCTTTGACAGCAGAGTCTAGCTCAGAACAATTTCGGCTCATAGTCGGTTTGCTGGGTAAACAGGGATTATTCGAGAGGTTAGCAACAGCGTAGTAAGGATGGCTTTTCGAAGAAAAGTGCTTATGTATTCTTTGGAGCTGACAGTAGTTTAGATTCTCATTCCTTGCTACCCAGATGGATACATCAGATTTGCTATTCAGGACATATTTGCGAGAAATTGATACTTTCTTGTTGACGTGCAGGTACGCCTCGGATGCGGTGTGCAGCAACGGGTGACAACTTCTAGTTGGTAACGATTTCAAATTGCTGCGGTTCTTTTGCGCCAACATCCTAGACGCCAGAACGTGGTACTTCAATCTTTGTTCTACCATTGGCTCTACTCTATTATTGGCATTCTTCAAAATGGAATTTGCTGTAAAGATAATTGTTCAATGTAATGACAAATATCCTAATATGTCTTCTACAGAAAAACGGCGTAAGGAAGTTGAAGTGAAACAGCGATGTAGTTTATTTACTTCTCTTATTAGATTAATTTAAAAAAATGTATAGTTTTTCAGATAGAATAGAATATCTTATATCCTGTAATTTATTATTTTATTATATTATTTATTACATTATATTAAATTAGATGAATAATAAGCATTAGGACTTCAGTTGGACTTCAAAAAATCAGTCGTTTGTGTTTCATATAGTTCAAACGTGTCATGTCTTAGCAGTTATAACTAAAGAGCAAATTTTATTAAGGTTGATAAAATAGTTACTTAATTTTATTGGTAATGAAATTAAGACTCGCTTGTGTGAACGACATTACAAAATGTAGGGGTGAACACGTCGCGACTGCGAAACACCGGCCAGTGTGTAATAAAATAACGCCACAGAAAAGACTCTGAAGGTGGTTTTTCCACCGGCGAGACGAGACGAGGATTGAAATTTGTAAAAATTTGACAAAATTTCAATTCTCTCCTAGCCCATCTTCGGTGGAAATGGTCTGGATGTACGAGGATGGGCGAGGCAAGAATTGAAATATTATATTTGTTGATATATTAATGAACCGTATTGCTGCCTACATAGAGTATTATACTCTGCAACGGAAACACTATTTCTGGCGCGATCGCGCGAGTGCCCGCACGGTCTCGCGCGAGTTCGCGGTGGTTATTAATGTCAATTGCGAGATTGTTTGGTATGTCCGATTTGAGATTTTAAAAAAGATGGTTTCATCCGATTCTTCTTCCGTTAACACATTTAATAATAATAATGTACGGGACATGTTACTTCAGCCGCGTATTTATTGCTAGATGAACTGAACAGTACGGAATCTTCACTATCCAAAATAGCGAACTCGCGCGAGCTATTAATATCATTTTTTACAGGGAATAGGCCGGTGACATTTCGATCCTCGTCTCTCCTCGTCTCGTCTTGCGTCTCTGGTGGAAAACCACCTTTATGCATGTGAATGGATTAGTAAAACCTGTAACATGATAGTTTACAAAATAAACTAGTACAAAATAAAATAGTTTTAACGAGCGATAACGTTGTCTCTGCTACAGAAGAAAGGATCAATACTTGCAAATGCATATGTGGGATTGTTTATTCCTCGAACTACCTTTGTGACGAATCAGCTGTCTATTGACTGATTGTAGGGCTGTGCAGTAATTTCTTTCATAAATAACATTTATTGCAACAGAACAAAAAAGATAGATGTAAAGGAAAAATGTTCGCCATTTTGTAATCAAGCAATTTCACCAAGCTATATTTTGGATAGAATATAGAACATCCAGATGGGTAGATGAACAGAGAAAAATCATGATACTTACACCGAATGACGAGATTTTTTTTCTGCGTGGTAGTAGCAATGGAGCAATTTTTAACATATTTTAAGAAAATTGTATTTCTTTGTGAAAGCACCTTTTTCAAAGCAAAAGCCATATTGCTGAAGCGTGTATGTATTTTAAACTTTAAATTTTGAATTTTTCTTGATTATGTATGATGGTAAGTGGATTGTTGTGTGGATGTCAGGCGAAGCTACGTTGAATAGAGGGACTGAAAACTAAGCCTTTAATGAGAACAGAAACGAGTGCAGCCATCTGCACGCTGCTTACGGTTCTATAAACATATGTCAAGGTTTGTCATGTTGTTGTCCATGGTATGTCATCCAAAATGTCACAGCAGAGATATTTCGAAAAAAACATGGTGTCAGTCGATCGCAAACGGTTTTTGGTATGTATAGAATACTTATGTTTCACAGACATGAGTAGTCCTTGACGCTCGACACAATGAGATGGTACAGGCAGTAGACACCAGGATGACATGAGTTAAAAAGTAAGTAAAGTTCAGGAGACGGCAAAACTTTCTATTTATTTTAAATTTATTATCAAAGGTGTTAATTTGGAATTTTAAAGTATGTAAAAGCCAGTGTGTGAATATGAAGGATTTTGGTAATTCGTATTATTATCAAAAAGTTTTAAAGAGAGATCTCGCCCTACTGTTTTTAAATACTCCTGTCGTCTGCAATATTAAAAAACCATGAACCATCTTATTTTAATTAATAAACAATGTATTATATGCGTAACATATACTTAAGCCTACGTATAGATTATTAAATAATTATGTTTATTGATTAAAATACGAAGGTTCAGGTTTTTCATTTCATACAGATATACATATTTATATACAATATATACAGATGTTCCGTTCTTCTGGAGGCGATATTTTAACAAAAGTTTACAGCTTGATGTGCTATTGACTGTACCTATATGTTCCAAATCATAAACACCAATAAAAACAAAATAGTTCTTACATTGTCGTTATTTTTGCTTTTCAACGCACCAATGCAATTGCAATACACCATGTACGATCAATACTAAAAAGTTTTTTGCAACACCGGGTTGATTTTTCTTTCGATGTTGAGGTATATGTATTAGGTATCTATTTTATTTTATTACGAACCTTAAAGCATTAAATTTTAATGATGTTTTCAATGAAACAGATATTAATGTAGCGTTTAGAAATTTCCATGAAATTTTCATTTCATTATATAATCTCTGTTATCCCAAACGCCGTTATAAGGTTAATACAAAAACTAGTGGTCCTAAATGGGTATCTAAAGCGCTAAGAAAGTGTTGTAAAATTAAAAGAGAATTACGTTTTAAGTATTACAAAAGCAAAAACAAAACAGATAAAGTAAAATATAGAAATTACTCAAAAATTTTAAAAAGATGTATTTTGAATGCCCAAAAGAAACATAATACTAATTTTATTAAACATAACAAGAATGTATGTAAGGCCTCGTGGGCAGTTATAAAGGGCCATAACGTACAAAAACCACCCATTACGGTTATAACTGAGTTAAATATACAAAACACAAGAGTGATAGAGCCATTACAAATGGCTTTAGCTTTTAATCGACATTTCATAAATTTGACCAATGATAATAACATTATATTGGACAAACATAAGTATGACAATTTAACAGAGGTACAAATGACATTAAATTCGTTCTACATAAAACCGTTCGTAACCTATGACATTATTAAAATAATACAATCTTTGAACAATACAAATGCCTGTGGCTATGATGAAATCTCGACAAAAATTTTAAAACAATGCGGGAATGAATTGGCACCAGTCTTAACATACTTAATAAATCTATCCTTTGAAAGGGGCATGTTTCCTGATGTATTAAAGGTATCAATAGTGAAGCCTATCTTTAAGAAGGGGGACAAGTCGGAACTATCCAACTACCGGCCAATTACTCTCATCCCGACATTAGCCAAAGTTTTTGAAAAATGCATGTACATTAGATTGATAGACTATTGCACAAAATTCAACCTTATAAGACCGGAACAATTCGGCTTTCAAAAGGGAAAATCAACAGCTGAGGCGGTTTTCAATATTGCCGGAATGGTGACCAAAGCTCTTGATACACAAAAACACAGCACAGTATTGTTCCTAGACATGTCTCAAGCTTTCGATTTTGTAGCACATGAGAGACTGCTGACCAAATTAGAAAAATATGGTATTAGGGGCATAGCACTGAGTTGGTTTAGGTCGTACCTATATAGCAGACAGCAACGGGTGGAGTTAAGCTACCTGGATCAAAATAAAAATATTACCACATGCTGTTCGACTAATGATTTCAATAAGTTTGGTGTTCCTCAGGGAAGCATACTTGGCCCATTACTATTTTTGTTGTACAAATTGACCTGCTTGATTTAATGACCTGCCCCTGATAACTCAGCACAAAATTGTCATGTTTGCAGATGACATTGCAATAGTCATCAACTCAAATAATAACGACGTCAATCATTATGAAGCCGAAATTAATGACACAATGAAATCTGTAATAGTTTGGTTAAATAGAAACAATCTACATGTGAATTTGGATAAAACTAAATATGTCCAATTTGCTGTTAAGAGACGTACACCAATGAATATTACTATAAAATATGATGGAAAGATCATACAAAGTTTAGAGACAGTAAAATTTTTGGGTATTCTAATAGATAAAAAACTGAGCTTTACCAATCATATTGACAGCATCTGCAGCAAAATAAACAGATTTGTGTACGTCCTTCGTGGATTAAGACGAGTTGCCTCTAAAAGAATATGCTTGTTTGCCTATCACGGCTACATTGCGTCGGTACTACGTTACGGATTGATTATATGGGGTAATGGAACATATGTAGAGCGAGCTTTTGTAACTCAAAAAAAGTGTATTCGAGCAATGTGCGGCATTGGCCCACGGTAATCTTGCAAGCCGCTGTTTAAGGATTTAAATATTTTGACCTTACCTTCCATGTATATATATGAAGTTTGCAAATTTGTTAAAGAGCATTCACAACTGTTTAAAAAATCGATAGATATTAATCCACGCGCGAAAAGACACCCAAATAGACTTGTCGCTGAAAATATACCTAAGACTACACTGTACTTAAAAAGTTCATATTATATGTGCATGAGAATTTATAATAAGTTGCCAATAGAAATAAAAAACTTGACATATAAAAGAATGACATCTGAATTGTATAAATATTTAATTAAAAAAGGTTATTATAGTGTAAATGACTACCTAAAAGACTAAATTTTGCATGCTTTTGTATAATGGCTGAATAGCAGTACCTACTCAAATGTAACAACTACCATCCTGTAAAAAACCTATTCAATGCAAATAAAACTTACTTCATTTCATTTCATTTCATTTCATTTCGATATTAAAAATTGTAATCAAGTTCTTGTTTACCTTGTTTAGTCCGTTGATATACCTATAAACTGGTATGTTTTTTTTCGTTCCGTTATTGTTTTACACACAGTACAGTAAACCATATTTGCACTTTTTTATAAACACTTATTAAAAATATTATGTATAAAATATATAAGTCAATTCATGTGAACATTTTGTTCAGTGAAATAATATAATGACTGAACAAGTCGTTACTTACTGCACTGTGTATACGGCAACGTATACACAGTGGCGGATTTGCCCTAACGCCCAGTAGGCCCGAGCCGAGCCGAGAGCGGCCAGGTTTTAGGGGCGGCCAGTCGTGACAAAAAATTAACTGATGATAATAAGAAATAACTCAAAGTACCTAAATATTCTAAAGGCTCACGCACATTATGGCGGGCCGCACTGCACACCGTATAACAATAATCTTCCTAAATAATTTTCGTACATTTTATTTATAAAATATAGATATGTCTATCAGTATATGACGAGTACTGAGAAAGGGGTGGCTGGTACTAACTACATGGCCCAGGGCTAAGGGCGGCTAAGACTGCAAATCCGCCACTGCGTATACATTTCAAAAAACACTAAATAGACGAGCTACGTGTATATCGCCAGCCCTGAGCTCTTGCACCGTCCGAGCCGGTTTAGACAAGTTTCTCTCCGTAAGCGATGAAGCCGCCGACGCTCACTTACACATGCGCCTCAAGCTTGTACTAGGTCAAGAGCACGTCAAACTTGACACTTAAGACTTCAATCCAACTCTATGCCGCTTACGATAAGAACGGTCCAAAGTACAAATTGTCACGCTTGATGTGCTCTTGACTGTACTAGTGTACCTGTCATAGTGCGGTTGTATGTCTCTGTTCCTTTTCTATAGTCATGTTCCAGGATGTCGCATGCGAAGTCGTGGGCAGCAATACGGTTCAATAATATAACAACAAATATAATATGGGCAAAATATTGTCCCAAATTTGACTTCTGACACGTTATTTTGGCACTGAAATGTGTCAGCGTTATTATTATTACAATGCATTTTGTCACATAGTAATATTAATAAAACAAAGGCTATGCTCTTGACTTTCGTGTACCAATTCGTTGACAGTTATTGTTTGTTAGTATTAAGATCAAAAGTGATTAAATTTTTCGAGTTACGGTATGCATTGATACCTACAATATTGTTTTTTCATTTTTCTGTTTAATACAGATTTTGCTTATATTATCATTTGTCGATTCATTTATTTGGCCGTTCATTAGTTATTTCGAAATCGAGACAATATCGCAGCGTACGAGAACAGACTATATGGTCTGTCTATAGTAGCGAATAAATGCAAAAATCGATTTATAAAAATGTTCATATGTTGACAAACATCAATTGTTATTCTATCTTATTTCAGAATGTGCTCACAACTCCATCTATTTGTTTGAAGCGAACTAAAACGAATATATAGAAGTTTTTTGGATTAATTTCGTTACAGTGGCGGCCGCCAGATAGCGTTCATTCCATTAGTAAAAAAAGAATAAAGTTAGAAGCGTGTCCAAAAATTTACCAGATTCCACTAAGTCATAACATTTTGATTTGAGAACAGAAAACAAAAGGTGGTTTTATTATTGGGTCTTCGCGGATAGCATTTCTACCAAAAAAAATAATAATAATAATAACGCACGTCACTTGGTACCATAAAAAACAGTATAAAAAAACTACCACAAAAATATTTAT